TACAATTAATTTATATGGAAAATATTTTTGAGATTTCCAGACTCAAAATTAACTAGTAAATTATACCAAATAATACAAAATAATACTAACACACAATAAACCAGAAATAATCTATATATATATATATATATAAATGGACGTGTGTGTCCCTATATTTCACTTTTCAGCCGAAACTACACATTGCACATGAATGGTGTTTGTATATGGTAGTAGCCCCAAGTCTCCATTCATGCACTATGGTGGTTGCGTCTTGATAGCTATAAGGGTGCGGGAGATATGGGCTTGAAAGTGGTTGAAAGTGGAAGATTTTCTATTTCAATTTTTAAAATTTTCGAATTCGAATTTAAATTCCAATTGGTTCGATTATAGAACGATTGTAAACGTTCCAGAAAATTGATCAAATTGAAAATAGTTTGTTTGACTGGACGTAAAAATTCTCTAAGTAGTCTGGAAACGGGGGACCTAATTCTTGCATTCTGTGAAAACGGGTGAGATTGGCTATAATGTAATTATCTTAATCTTCACTATCGTTACTTTTTGCCCACAAATAAAAACCCAGCAAAGCGGGTCCTTGCAGCTAGTATAATATAAATACACTTTACATAAAGTAGAAATGTGAGTACCGTGTAGTTAATGAAACCATACAAGAAGTACCGTCTGGAAAGCAACCTTTAAACTATGAAACTGCTCTTGTCTCAAAAACAGATCAAACCATTCATGACTACCTTTAAATTCCACTTTTGCAAAAGTTTTTCTATTTCAGCTTATTGAAAAGACTGATTTCTTAAGAAACATAACAGAACATCATACTTTGTATAGCCATCAGTCCATTCAAGCAACATATTTTGTTTTATTTATTTTTCTAATGGATGCATAAAATAAATCAACATAAAGCACAAATGCTAACAGGCAGAATTTAAAGTTAAGGTGGCTTGATGTTGAATGTAGTTTTCAAGGAAGGAGCTTGAAAATTCCTATTACTGTTTGCCACTTGGAGTACACACTGTCTCTAAACTGGCTCTCTGAAAAACAAACACTAAGTGCTATTTTTAATTTTCACTGTTTTTTTTTTTTTTTTTTTTGTAAAAGTGAAAATTTTCTTCACACTTCTTTTGTTAAACAAATACATGTTCTAATATAAATTTTTCTTAAAAATGAAATTATATAAAGTGAACTTTTATAAAGTGTGGGATACCTGTATTCAGATAAAAGTTAGAATCAAAGTAGAATTATGAAAGCTTGTTGGTGATACACAATTATAAAAGGTTCGAAGAAATGTTATTAGCAACTTGGACAGAACAAAGGATGTGCTGTTCAAAAAGGCTGAAGACCATGATGGCAAAAAAATAGGAAGCAGGAATCATCATGACAAAAGTTCTGATGAAGATGAAAGTGATAAAGTATTGTTTCAATGCTTTCCAACTTTTTTTAATGCAAATTGTTAATTTTTATATTCAAATAAAAGGTCAACTTATATTTGGGACCTAATTTTTTTCAAAAAATAATCATTCTAAAATTAAGAGTTGATTTACATTGGATTCAATATTATAATTATCAAGTAGGCAAAATGATAGTTTTAAAGTGAGGAGTTCTGATATTGCAATTGATTCATGTTTTTCTTTATATATTTGTGTCCATTTCAGTTTGTTAATAAAACAAATAACAGATTAATGTGCTTATGAGAATCATGGCTTCATCCAAACCAGATATGAGGAAATATCCACAAACTATGTAGCTCAATATTTTGCAGATTTTGACATTCTCCCTTCCTGGTAACTCTATGGCCAGGCAAAGTGATCTCTTGCTGCTAAAACAGCATACTTTAAGGAAGTTGGACCCAAAATACTTCAAATTTGAAAATGAAATAAATAAAAGTCAGTCTTCACTTAACAACTTACCTATTTAATGACTGCTTGACTATGACCAGTTTGCCAGTGCATGGAATTCTCTTTCTTGGTTTGTGTTGTTCCTGCAGTCAGTATTTCATTACTCAATGCATTTGCAATCTCTGAGACTACATATTTTGTTCATAAATTTGTACTTTGTGCACGTCAGAGTACAAGGTCATCAAGTGAGGAGTGCTGGCACCAGATGGGAAAATAGCAAAACTTTTTTGCAAATCTCCTGAACAAACATAAAGATTAAGAGATCAGTTACAAATAACAAACATAGAATATGAAAAAAATACTACATGCACTCAATTACAAAATTTTGGAACAGTAAAGGGAAATCTCATATAATAAAGCTGTTATAAGACTTTTCCTGGAACTTCTTTCCACACATTCTGAAATGCTGTATCAAGTGATTATATTTGGCACGGTACCAGATGGCAGCTGAAGGTCAACAGTATCAATATCCTCTTCATATTCCCATTTACATTTTGGTTTCTAAAACTTATTTTTTATAATAATGAATTTAATAAAGTATCAGGTCAGTCCATAAGTTCGTGCGCATTTTTATCTACAAAAAAAGCAACAAAAATTTTAATTAAATCTTATTTCAATCTATAATGTATTCACCATTATTTTGTACAATTTCTTGTCATCTTGATGATAGCTTTTTAATCCCGTCTTTGTAAAATGATTTCGGTTTTGAATCAAAATATTCAGAAATAGCCTTTTTTACATTGTTCTCATCCTCAAAAGTTTTTCCTTTTAAAAAATTCTGCAAACTCCGAAAAAGATGATAATCACTGGGAGCAATATCTGGCAAATATGGTGGATGAGGTAAAATTTCCCAGTTGAAGCTTT